TCTCTCTCTCTCCCTCGTCTCATCCTCCCACCCTCCCTCTCTCTCTATTCTTCCCCGTTCTTCATTCATTTTTTTTTTAAATCCGTTATTTTTCCCTTGTATTTCACCAGGTGAAAGTTTGGTTCCAGAACCGCCGTATGAAATGGCGTCACGCCCAGCAACAGGGCGAGAAGGACAAACAGTTACAACAGACTGGACAAACACCCAGACCCCCGGAGGACAAAGGAAGAGAGGAAAACCGAGAAGTAGCAGGCGCAGCAGCTGTCAATCTCGACGCAGCTCACAGCACGCTGGGAGTCGACGTGGACGACGATGAAGAAGTCGCGGAGACATCTCTTGGCGTTTCCTCCTCCTCCGCTTCCTCCTCCTCCTCCGAGTCACGTGATAAGCTGGCAATGGCGTCAGCACAGCTGTCGGAGCGACTTGCGTTAAATTCAGGGGGTGTAAGGGACACTCTTGACACCGCTGCAGATATGTGTATTTCTTCTCACCCTCCCCTTCCTCCTCCTCCTCCTCGAGTACCCGCCGTTTTTCAACAACAGGCTGGTGGTCCGGATATAGTGCACAGCAATGAACCCAGCTCTGTGCACCATCTAGTTCACCATAAAAACACGACTCTTGCAAGAGATATGCAGGATGTCCGGATCGGTAGCCACGGAGCTGGATCTCCACTGTATCATAACCGAGATCTGCGCGTCATCTCCGAACCTGGGAACATAAAGGGTGTGGCCTCCGTGGTGTCAGGGGCGGGTCCTGAGGAGATCCTCATGGACAGTGATGCGGACGACGAGCCGGGGAGTATCATTGGTGCTTGTCACGACAGGGATGAGGCAGACACGCCCATTCCACAAGACTCCGCCCTCCTGAGTGATGACGACTCCACACCGTGTGATGACGTCAGCATGGGTGACATAGACGTTGACAATTAAGCTATTGGTAGACAAAGTGTGCATTTTTTGCTTTTTGTTTTGTTTTGTTTTGGTAACAACAGAATCACTGCACCTAAACGCCGTTTCCGACAATGTAAAAGCAAGACAGTTTCTCGATAAACTAAAAGCTATATAAGAATTTCACGACAACAATGTCAGTCCCAGAACGAGTATATTTATTTCAGGACAAGTGCGAGAAAAGTGATAGGTATTTAGCTGAAATCAGTAAGTTAATATTGTCTACTTTTGCCATTGCTGTGTTGGTCTACTCGCTTTCGTCTCCAGTGGCAAATGTGAGTAAAGACCGCAGAAACTCGAACAAAAATCTTCAGGATGAAATGTGAAGAAAAACAAAAATAACTGTGGTATCGGTGGCCTTGACATTGCCCTGACGTCAGACAAAAAATGCTGAAGTCTTCATTCGTGTACATGTACAGTATACACATACGAGATACACACACACGCGCGC